GTGTGTGTGTGTATGTGCGTGCGTGCGTGTAATATGTTCCTTTAAACCTGACTATATTGTGTATGTGAGTAACATATATAGTATACATTGGGGTACCCACAACTATAAATCTCAGAGATTTTTGTTTATAATTTCCCTCAGCCGATCCCCGTATGGAAAGTATAGCGTACACATCTGTTCAACAATGCACAAACATCACTTTGTATCCGTAGTATCAAATGCATACCATCGATCTGTCCGTTTTGACGTGATACTAGACATCCTGGCAGTTGTCTGTCAGAAGAAGGTTAAGCACCTTGTTTAAGTGTTCAGGGTGTACGAGTCTTCATCGGCTGCACCTTCGTGGCAATAGGACCAGTACAATAAGACAAGTACAATAGGGCAAGTACAATAGGGCAGGTACAATAGAACGACTGGGCAATAAGACAAGTACAATAGGACAATTGGACAAGTGTAATAGGACAGTAAGACATGTACAATAGAACAAATGCAATAGGACAACTGAGCAATAAGACAAATACAAAAGGACAAATAAAGAGGTACAATAGAACAAGTGCAATAGGACAATTGAGCAAGTACAATCGGACATGTACAATAGGACAATTGGACAGGTGCAGTAGGACAAGTTCAATAGGACAATTGGACAAGTACAATACGACAAGAGCAATAGGACAATAGGACACATACAATAGGAGAAGTTCAATAGGACAATTGGACAAGTACAGATCTACTGCACTTAATTGCGGCGAATGATACAACAGAAGTCAAATGAACAAGCCACGAAAACTCTCAATGTATTCGGAAACAAAGTATCCATTACAAAGGGCAGTGATCACTGGTCAATAGCACCTATTTGGGCTCAGATGCGATGTGCTAGAATGGGGGCATAATCTGCTGAATTCGGATTCAGTTCTAGACGCTATACTTTATGAAAGCCGACTCACACCTCATGCTAGGTCTGCTGTCCCCGAACACTCACCTACATCAGGGAGTGACACCAGGAGATAGTATCACCCAGAAAGTGCTTGTGCTTGGTTCCTTCGTGCCTAGAATTTGAGATATTGAGCTTCGATAAAACGACCGGCGCAAAAAATAAACCACAGAACGAATCTTATGAGCACCTAAACATAACATTTGTAATTTTGATCGTCAGCAGCTAAACACAAAGTTTTGGACTTATGATTGTCCCAGGAGACATATCTGAACCCGTACTTCCGAGGTCTCATATTCGTGTTCACACTGTCCTCCACAGGCGCCACTCTGGTGGATGCTCTGCATAGCGTATTTGCGTGGAAGTACTATCCTACGGGCCTGCTAAAGTTGCTGGCCGATATATCGGTATTTGCCTATGTATGCGGCTATCACAGTCCGGCCTGTTGTTGTCGCAAGTGTAAACATGAGGTCATATGTCCAATTCATTGGTTGTAGGATATGTTCGTCGTGTTGTGCCTGGTGTGATGGCCAGGTTGATTCCTGTTTAGTCGCGTTGTAGTGGTTCACATATCATATTCCGACGCCCTTGCAGTTGTATTGGTACTTGCATCTCATGGTATGTCACCTTAAGTAGCTTAGATTTCTGCTGGAAAGTGTTTACTATCTAGCTCCAGAACTCTTTTCCTTTTTTCTTTTCTTGACGCGCGCGTGTGTGTGGGAGGGGGGGGTCATTGGTTCTGGTGTATGTATAGTAGTATAGTGGACAATCCGTGTAGGCGAGCTTTCTTGTCGTAAAACCAGTTTCACAGCGTATCTGGGAGAGATGCAAGGCTGCGTTAATCATGTTTGAGGTATAGTTTACGACATGTCATCAAAGTGTTGAAGTATATTTCAAAAGGCCAACAAAAAGGATAAAGTATATTTACGACATCAACACGTGTTGAAGTATATTTATGGCATATTAACAAAAGTGTTGATATATACTTACGACATGCCAACAAGAGGGTTCAAAGTATATTTTACGACATGTCATCAACAAAAGGGAGGTACTAGATGTAGCAATATCGCATGACGTATAACACAACACTCCGACAGTACAAGCACTATATACCTTCTGGATACAGCAAGCAGGCATAATAGCAAGCAGGCATATATATTAAAAGCATCCCCGAGATTAGTACTACAGTTGCCTCTCTCGCGCTGATGCTGAGTATGCGAATATGAGTACGAAAATATAGACCCACTGAATGTATATATATAAACAGGGATTCGGAGGACCCCTGGTCCTCAACCTACTGGTCAAATATGTGGACACGACGCATCAATCTGATGAGGAACAGGACCGGTCCCTTTTGGTAGGATTGGGGTACGTCGCCATGTTGGTGTTCTCCACGCTTGTTCAGGTATGTGAACCGGTCTATCATAAATCGTGGCATCGCACACAGCCCAGTCATTCCAACGATGTATTATTGCACACCACTCGTCTCTACATTCGCCCGGTCCCCTCGGTACACACACATACACGTACACTCCCGGCGCATTTCCCTGTTTGACCTTTGTTGTCATTGATCACATTGTGCTCACCCATCGTCCCATGTCCATGTGTATGCCCTCGTTTGCGCCATGGCCTCGTAGGCCGTTTTCAGCTCGCAGTTCTGGTTCCGTACCAACTGTATAGGGCTGTCCGTACGTGCGGCTTTGGTATCGCAAATGTACGAAAAGTGCCTCAACCTAGGCGCTACGGCTGGCAAAGGTGAGTTCAAGCAGTGCGTGTTCATTGATTCTTTATA